TGTCTCTCAAGCAGCAATTCGCTAACAGTTTTTCTTCTTTCAACGTCTCTTTCTTTCAATTCATGTGGAACGCATTGTGACATCTTTTGAATCATTCCCATTGCTTTGAGACGTTTCGAAACTGTTGTTTGCTCAACTCTTAGTGATTCTGCAAGTTCGTCTTGCGTTTGACACGAATCCTTATTGAGCATTGCAGCTAATTCATCGTCTTCAAATTTTTTTGGCTGCCCAGGTCTCTCTTTGTCTTCTAAGCCAAAATTATTGCTTTTAAACCGTGCAACCACTTTTGTCATGTTCGCTTAGCTAGAGCATGGTCACTATAAACTTAAACCAAAATTCGATGACTTTTGGTAGCACTTTTCTTCATAATAAAGTAATGAAGAAAATCCCCCCACAAAAACATTTTATTCGGCACAAAACTCGACATTTTCAGTTAAATAAAAAAAATCTTTATTTACTTTTAAATCGAATGATGTATACTGAAAAAGATTCCCAATGATAGAAGTTTTTAAACGCATGTTTATATAAACGAAACGATGGAACAATAAGCTAGTAACGCCATCTCTTGTAAAACTGCACAAACTAATTTCTAGACCAAATATTATTCCAGCCACATATTGATCATATCTGTGTGAGGTCCCTAAGAATGTCCACCCAACGATTATAGCCCCGTGGCAAATAATTTAGGACTTTCCACCCTGTCATCGAGGCGTAATATTGCAGGCTCTAGGTTTCTCGGAGGTTTGCTTGATGGGAAGATAGAATGTCCAGCGCTATTGTCTCTGATTCCTTTTAGGGTTCCACAGATTAATACCAGGACGAATGCGCCTTTCCGAGTCACGCATGCCCCCACGAATTACCTAATGAACGAACCCCTCCGCCGGTTACTTAAAAGTGCAAATGCTGATCCTAATTTTATATTATAATAATATTTTTATTGTGCTTAGTAATGTCTTATTCATATGTTTGTAAACATTTTAGATTTTGTCTTTTGTTTTTTTGTTTTTTGTGTCTCAAAATCAGTTAATATTAATTATGTAAACATAACATTATTTTTAAAAAAGGGATACATCCCGTAAACTAATATAATAAATAAATAAATAAAATCGGATTGATAGAATCGCTTGAGTGAGCGTGTACAAAGAAGATTTTTACTTTTAATCGCATAAAAGAGACATATGAATTCTATGAATAACCCTTCCGAGTCAATATCCCTTAATTCTATACAGGCTTCCCTTAACTTAGATTCCCTTGTTAATAGGCGAAAATATATACAGACGTCTGCTTTCTATCTAAATTAGTAAATGATGTTATATCCTGTCCAGAACTATTACAATCCATAAACTTTCATGTTCCTAAATTTCATTTACGTTCTTGTCCCACATTTGAAATCCCTTTTTATCGAACATCTTGCAGTTATAATAACCCTGTTGATCGAATAGCCAGAGAGTGCAATAAATTAAAATTTGATTTGCTTATTATGAATGATTTGTATTCCTTAAAACACTGATTTTAATAGCCTGATGCATATTATTAAATCACCTTTCTTTTTTGGTAAATTTAATTTTATATTATGTACTTCATTAATACTATTCTTATAACATACTTGTATCTTTATTTCAACAATGTCTATTATATATTTTATTGTCACTGTACTTGAGCCTATCTGGGCATTTACACCAAATAAATAAATAAAAGTTGATAAGAATGATGTAATGATGGTGAACTCTTTTTGAACATAACCGTAGTCTCCCAATCAGGTTAAATAACGAATGGGAGAGGTCACTGACAGTGTGACCATAGCGTTGGTTGACAATCATAATATGGTATATAAGATGAGGATCACAGGCGGTAGGAACAATTCATAAGTATAATAAATAATCATGTGTGTATATGTAACACTGAACATAGAGATGTTTAACGCGCACTTTTTGAATACAGTTATCTGTGTCCTCATAATTTTTATTACGTTACAATATTAAAACATATTTTTTTTAAAAAGACACTGGCATTTATTACTAAATTTTAATAATAGTTTAAAATATAAATTTAAATAATTTCAACCAATTTCTAACACAGGGTATATTTATGGAGTTATCTCAAACAATTATAGATACATTAAGATTATTTAATAAAACTTTTGGAATAACTATGTCTCCTTCAAATACATTTGAGACTCATTTTGTTATGAGTGTTATTGGACTAGTATCCAATTTAGCTTCCAAAAATTATGGAAGAACTTTTTTTGCTACAACCGACATAGGAAATAAGTTAGTGGACTTAATTATATTTACAATGCATTGGTTACAATTATCTACAGCTGGAAATAATATAAAAAGGTAATTAAATTAAAAAAACATTAAATAGTTTTTTACTTATTTCTTCACTATATTGTAAAATTATATGGTTTTTAAACATTAAGTGATTAGTTTTAAATAATAATTATACTTTAAGCAAATAAATAAATAAAGTTATTTTTTTAAATAGAGAAAATTTTTAAACTTAGTTCATAAGAATAATTATGTTTGCTGATTTCGAAAGTCTCCATAAAATTTTAGCTACAATATATATCTGTGAAGGTAATATATATATATTTTTAGGGTGCGTTTCTAAAATTCTGAGCTCTTACTGGACCCCGATTTTTTTTTACCTATCAAAATAATCTGATTTTAATCTAGTTAAACCTATTACCGGAAATAAGTAAAGAAAACTCTTTAAAACGATGAATATTTTCGCATTTTAAAAATGCTATATTTTTTTTTTAATATTGATTCTGATACATCAAATTTTTTTTCTAAAAATTGATTTTTTATTGTCTCTAATTGATTTTGTGATAAGATACCATAACCTTTGTTCTTTAAGGTTTTATCTGGGGTATTCCTGTCACTAATTTGTTCTGTTGTTTTAAACTGTTTTCCTGTCCACAACGAAAATTAAATTCTATTGCTATATCTCAAGACATTTTTAAAATCTCTTGAAATCCCATACGCCTAATCCATTAGTTCAACTTTAAGCGCTTCTCCAGACAAATGTTATTTAAAAATACTTCATTGCTTTTCTTGCATTGTCTATTTATTTCATTTTTTAATTTCTTGTATTTTTCCATCCCTTTTTGGTCTGTATCATTTATATATTTTCTGCTTTCATTAATAATTTTCAGGATTTCTTCGTTTATCCATTCTTTTCTATTAGTTTCTTTAAATTTTCCTAAAATTCATACACATTCTTTAATATGCATCGTTTAATATTTCCCCAGTTTTCCTCATTGCTTTAAGTATTTTGTGTGTCATACGTCTCCATCATAGCTTTATCTGTCTTTTCTTTGTATGAATTTTTTCATTTCTTCCACTTTCAGGTTTGTTAGTTGTAAGCTCTTCATACCTTTTTTCTTTTGTAGCTTTTTAAACTTAAGTTTACAATGCACAAGGACCAGGTTATGATCGCTATTAATATCGGCTCCTGTCTTTTTCTGTCTTTAATTTGATTTTTGTATCTTCCTCGTACTAATATATAGTATATCGTTTTCTTTTGTGATGTTGGAAGTGTGTATTTGTTATTATTAGATTATTCCATGTAAAGAACTCTAGTAACACTTCCTCTCTTGGGTTGGGTTTAACAAGTCTATACTTGCCGACAATATTCTTTTCTTTTCCTTACCCCACGGTGGCATTAAAGTCTCCTAGGGTTATAAGATTTTCTTCTCTTTTTTTCGTCTTTATTGATTAATTTAATTCTTAATATACTCTTTCTACTTCATCTTCCTTTTCTTCTGATGTGGGCATATAAACATGAATTATCACAGTATCTATTGGTTTGGTTTCTAATTTGACTAGAATTATTCTGTCACTAATTGCACGTAACCTCTTACCTTGTGCCCCATATGTTATTGAAGAACTATTCTTATTCCTTTTGTACACTGTCTTCCGTCTTCTGTGCCTGAGTAAATTATTCTGTATTCCTCTGTTCAAAAATCACTTGATTTATGCTATCTTATTTCTAAAATGCCCAGAATATCTATTTTAAGTCATTTCATCTTAACTTTTCAATTCTCCAATTTTTCTATCTGCAGAAGTACTCTGACATTTCATGTGTAAATCCTCTTGATTTCATAACCTATCGTTTTCAATCTTAAAGAGTTAACTTCTTGAGTAGTTCTCACCCGGAGATTCGATCGAGGGAATATTTTATCTCTTGAATTTTTTACTGTCAAAGCATTCATACTTTAAATTGCCATTTTAGTTTTCGTTTTAGTTATTATCGAGGTGGACATATTGCCCATGCAATCAGACCTGTTGGTCCATTGTGAGCAACCTCTAACCGAATTGTCTTGATTCGGTTTACCCACCTAAGTGTTATCACCAAAGTGTTAATACATTACTAACCATAAAGTCACCTCTAAAGATGACCAAAGAGTCCTGTCTTTCTGGCGAAATTAAGTATATCTCTGGGTTTTAGGTTTTTAATATTTTCTTTTTCAGGAAAAGGTTTATTCAAGTAGTTTGATCTTAGTGTGGACAAGGCTTCACATTCATACATGATGTGAAATGAGTCTTCCTCTTCTACTCCACACTTCCTGCACGATGGTGATTCCGATACCCCCATTGCGTTAAGATGTTTAAGCAGGTGACCATGTCTTGTCAGTAAATAAGCCAGGGTGCATATTTGATATCTAGTCATGCTATTAAGAACACCCAGCAATAGACCAGGAGTCTTGATAAACATTTTAGATTGTCTAGGTACTACCAAGTACTTTCAGATTTTCCTGTGTTGTTCTCTGCACCAATTCTTGGGTAGCGCTTTGAGCGATTGCTCAGTGAGTCCTACCACTGGTTATGGTCTAATATAGGTGTTCTCTGCTCCTTTCCTGGCTAGAAAGTCAGCATTCTCATTTCCAGTGACACCGTTGTGTCCCGGTACCCACGCTAGTGTAACTGTTGAACCTCGATTGCGATTCTAAAGTTTCCCTACATTCGAGGACCAGCTTTGAATACATCTGATCGTTACAGTGCTTTCAAAGCCGCTTGACTATCATTTAAGATAGTTATCTTCCTATTTTTGTATATCAGCAGGTTCTGAGCCCCTACCAGTATCGCCATCACCTCTGCTTGAAAAACAGATGGTGTTGTGCCCAATGACATACTGACATTTATTCGTGGCTTTAAACCCCAAATTTCAACACCTACCTTTCCTGATTTTTTGGATCCATCTGTATATATCACAAATCCTCCTTTTTTAGTCAGGTGGTTAATATTCCATTCTCTACGTGTAGTGATCACCACTTTGTAAGGAATGTTATTCTTAAGAACCGGTTTGATATAGTACAAGGGGTATTCCAAAAAGCCCTGGTCTATCTCTTTTAGTATTTTACTATGTTCTGTTGTGTCACTCTCCAAAGTCCACATACCTAAGTTGTGGAATATTAGTGCTGTGGCTTTGGCGTGAGCTTTAACCTCTAGATGCAGAGGAGGCAATCCGATTAGTGTCTCTAATGCGACCGTTGGTGTAGTTCTTAATGCTCCAGTGATGGCCGTAGCAGCCATTCTCTGTATGCGACTAAGTTCTTTCCTGGCTGTAACGAGTGATGCTCTGGTCCACCAGACTAGGGCACCGTACAATATCATAGGTATAATTACTGAAGTGTACAACCAATACCAAAGACCCCATGTCTTTCCCAAGGCTATGCTGCAAGTCCACAATGTGGTCATTGCTTTTTTGATTCTTGACTCAACATGTGATTTCAATTTAAGCTTACTATCCAAGATAATACTTATGTATTTTACTTCCGATTTTAAGCTAATTTCTTGTCCATTTAGAGTAAGAGTATCAAGACTGTCTAGTTCTATTCTCCTTCTAGTGAACATAACAACCTCTGCTTTATTTGGATTAACAGATAGACCGTACTTACTACACCATATCTGTATAGTGTTAAGTCTCTGTTGTACTAAGTCTATAATAGTGTTTGGGAATTTAACAAACCACTGCTATAACCAAGTCATCCGCAAAGGCTTGTGTATAACAACATTTGTTTAACTCTCTAATAAGCGAGTCCAATACTAGACACCATAGCAAGGTGTTTTAGAACCCCGCTTTGTGGGCATCCCTGTTGAACACTCTTGATTACTTTGGTCTCATTGAGCTGTCCCAAAATGGAGCGTTCCTTAAGCATGGATTCTATCCACTTAGTAATAAGTGGTTCTATTCCATGCTGTTGTGCAGATTCACACATAGCATCGACGGGAGTATTGTCAAAAGCCCTTTCGATGTCCAGGAATATACATACTGCATACATTTTATTCTCTACTGCTTTCCCTATCTTAGTGGTTAAGCAGTCTAGAGCTGTATCAGTAGATTTCCCCGTTTGATACGCATGTTAGTTTTCATGTAAGGGGTTCTCCTTTTGAGGCTCTTCCTTGATGTACCTATCAATAAGTTTCTCTATAGTCTTAAGAATTAAAGAAGTAAGACTTATTGGTCTGTATGATTTTGCTTCATAATAGTGCGGTTAGGTTTGGGTATAAACAACACCCTAACCTTACGCCAGCTTTCCGATTGATAACCATTGGCAAGGCATGCCCTAAATATTTTGCAGAGGGAGGGACGATTATCTCTAACCCTTCTTGCAGAAGTGCAGGGAAAATTTCGTCATAGCCTGCAGCTTTAAAACTGCCTAAAGCTTTTATTGCCCATCTTATTCCACTTGGGGTTATCACTTTCCTGGTTAGTCTCCAATCAGCACAGGTCACACGTTTGTCCTGTGCATCATGTGATTGTTCTCTGTTTTTAATTACAGAGTCAGGAAAATGTGTGTTCATCAAATAAGATAATATTTCATTATCGTTATTGGTGAACATTCCGTCTGGCAATAGTATTGCCTCGACTGTTTTGTTTGGTCCATTCCTCAGGATCGCAGAAGTCTAGTTGCTTAGGGAATTGTTGTATATCCCCACAGAACTTTTTTCGGCTTTCTCTTTTGGACTTTTTCAATGCAGATTTGAGGTTCCTTTGGGCGTCCTTATAGGATTCCCAGTGTTGTTCCAAACCTGATTTCATTGCTTTATTTAAGAGCTTACGTAAACTCTTTCTTAAATTATACAGGTTAGCATTCCACCAGGCTACACCTTGTCCTGCACCTTTCCTTTCTATTAAAGGACAGTTTTCTTTGTAAGCCGAGACAATGGAGTCCTGTAGTATATTTACAGCTCTTTCAGTACTCTGTCTCGACCCTAATCTAAACTGTAGGATATTTAGATAACGAGAAAGATCTGCCTTGTAGTTGTCCAAGTTTGTTTTTTTCGGGCTCCTATAGTACTACGTCTCAACTTTGTTAATTTCCAAAGTGAATTGTAAGTGTCTATGATCAGAAAGAAAAGGTTTCGGAGGATACTTTCCACCCTTTTATCTTTTAAAGTAACTCTTTTGAGCAAACTGTCAGATCAATGACTTCCTGCCTGTTCCTGATTACAAAGGTTGGTTAAATACCTCTATTCAGTATACTGAGGTTTGTAGTCAGCAATAGATCTATTATAAACTCTCTTCTTTGGTTAATGTTACTACTACTTTACTGTGATGCAGGTTTATTTGCGTGAATTGAATTCTATTGTCAGCCATTCAGAAAAAGTGATGTTGACGCATGAAAAAGCACGCTGTACTGGGTGTAATACAGGTGTCTGAAACAGTCCCTGTGTCACACAGCCCCCCATGCGGGTGGTATCCTCCCACCGTCACCAGGTGGCGACCGTACCTTACGTTCGTTCTCCATATTTCCTTTTGGATCCGTGGAGAGGTTCCCCTCAGCTGTGCCGTTTTTGAGGGTGGCGGTTTACTGGGTCCCTTTCCCTTACGTAACACACTTCCTCCCTTCCGTTTCGATGCAGGAGTGAAGTGTGTCCGTTTGTTTCTTACCTGTGCCTTACCTCCTTTTCCGAGTGGCACTGGTGATTCCTCAGCCTTCCACTTCCCAGATTTTTGAGAAGTGGATTTTTCACATCCTTTTGGGTTGGTGGCTGCTTTTCAACATAGTCTGTGTATCAAACTCTGCCCATTCCAAAATATGGACTGCACTTTAGTTCCTCCAGTTTGGCCATGCTCTTTTCGAGCACACTTAGGAACAAAGTTTGTCCTTTCGGGCCAACCTCTGTCTCATGGTGGACTTTCCAGATCACCGTGTTCAACCCTAGGTTTTGTTTTGCCAAAATTTCCAAGATCTTCTTGGACTCTTTTGGCAGCTCTGGTATATGAGTGACCATCCGTTTGTACTTGATCGGGTTGTAGGCTTCCAATTGGATTTTTGCACCGTCCCAAGGTTTAATCAGGCTGACATGGTCAGTGAGCCACTTAAGAGAGCTCTCTTAGGTTACACTGATCACAAGTGCTCCATCAGTGAGTCTGGTGTCTTCAAACCTTGGTACGTCGGTTCCATCAGTACCCGACAGTATCAAGTCTCCAACACAAGACTCAATGAGTAGCCCCTGCTCTGTGGTCAACTTGTTAGTGGGGTAGCATGCGAGGACAAGAGCCACTTTTTTATCATCGCTTACCACGTGTCCCTGTAGGTCGGTACCCAATGCAGTTTTCATACATGGAGGTTCTTGACCCTTGTCCTCAGGTTTTTGAGCTTCGGTTCCCTTTGACTTTTTCAAGTCATCGATTCCCTTGTCTCCCTCCTTTGGCAGGTTCTTCTGTCCCTCCATGATTGCTCGGCTCCTCTTCAGCTTGCGCCTCTGACTGCCGCTCAGTTTTTCAGGTTTAAGTTTTAGGNCTAACATATAAGTGCTAGACTTGATGGAAAAATAATAAAACTAAACTGTGACGACGGACAACAATACAAATTTATACACCGAAATTTATACTTATCGGCGAACTAATAACGTAGCTTAATCGAATGATACACGAGATTAGCACGATCGTATCGAACAAAGTATCATAATGCGGTAATGAGTGTAGATAACGGAGAGGCACAACCGAACGGACGGCACACACGTCGTTAAGGTACGAATGTCCGTACTGTACTGTGTTTTCTATATTTTTATCCAAATAGTTCCCACGAGTAGTCGAGAAATAAAGGTCCGTCACAGCAGAGCTCGATACTGTGATAAGGCTGTATACTCTATGGTGTGCCAGGTGCCATAGAGGATCCCAATGGTCACTTTACCTTTCGGCTAACTACCCTGTGACAAGTTAACAACCCTTTCACTTAATATGGCTGGGTAAGGTGGTCTTATTCGCTGTTAGCTAGCAGGTATGCCCAGGCCTACCGGTCCCAACTAACCAATGTCAGGACCGGCTAAGAGCAGTGGTACGTGTTGCCACCCTCACTGAAATAACTAGGGTCCGCGGGGTTGATAGGCCCGTAATCCTTGCAGATTCCCCTGCGAGATTAAATTTCCATTACTCAGGATATCTATTTAGATCTTTAATGCGATAGTTTCCTCTTGCTTTTTGCATGCTATGCCGTTGACGAAGAAAAAAATTAATTCGTATCTGCATTTTAGAGCTATTTCTAGGACAAAAGAGTGCTCTTCCCTTTACCAGCGTAAAGAGTTGTTACCGGGAGTAGATTGGATTTAATTCAACTGGAATCTCCTGCCTGAGGATTTCCGCCTGTGTAGCTATGGACCCTGGGTGCGGTAAACACGTAGTTTATGACATATTATTATTGTCATATACTTCCCCTGAGGGAAAAATAAAATTAAAAAAAAATCTTTCCCAGTTTTTTGGTTCTTCATCTCCGTTGTGCGACATTAAAATAATGAATGTAAATATTAGGTAGGTTGAGATACATTGGTGACGTTACAGAGCATATTTCGTTATACGTCCTCAACATAGGTCATGAAGTCCTTTAGCGGCATCTCCGTATCTATTACAGAGTTTTGTGATGAGTGAACTTATAGCTTTCCGCAAACAAAAATGCTTAGTTCTTGTCTACAAAACTCTCCTTCTGCTGGATTCAATCGTGGCGTTAAAGACTCTGTTGGATTGGCTACCAGTTCTTTTTCACCAAATAGGGTATCATCAGCGTAACAAATGACACAAATATAATGTGAAAATTGAGCAAGAAATAAATATCATGTGTACATCGCAATGTTTATTTGTTTATATATAGAGTGTCTATATAAACTTTCTATAATAATAGAGAGTCTATAAAATTGGAGACATAAAATTAGTTTATTAAAGTTTTTTAATAGTGTTAAAATTTCAACATTTAAGATTTTTATTTTGAGTTTAAATTATTTAATAACCGTTTAAATAAAAATTTTTTTTTAAATTTTTAGAATATCATATGCAGCACTTTACAATATAAGTATTCATCCAAAATCTTTGTTATTGATGGAAAACACTACTCTTCTTCGTATTCTCAACAATGATGTAAGTATGAATAACAAAGAAGTGCTCGAAATACGACTGTTTGCACTTAAATTACTTGCATCAATATCTCGTGATGTATGCACAAGATCAATGTATAACGCCCTGCAAACATATGTAAGTTAATTTTTGTGATAAACTTTCATAACTTTAATTTCCTTAAATTAGAACCATTTAAAATGATAACATTTCTACAAAAATTAACGTTTACAGCGTAACTCTTGATAATGTCTTGGAAATAGTGACATTTCAATATATGTATCTTAATTAAAGCGTATGTAATATAGTTACATATTTTTACTTAATAATTTCGAACTTTGCAACATCTTTCTAGTGAAAATGGATTCCGTATTCTAATATAGTCTATTTGTGTGTTAAAATTCTTGTTTTCGAGTGGAATATTCAAGTGGAATGTACTAACTTTCATAAATACTATAAGAAGTGTAAAATATGGAAAGCTGGTACTTCGTCTCACACACCATCCACTGAACAGGTTGGGTTGTGCTGATGGAGCGTATTCGATGGCGGAGTAGTAAATCTAACGTAAACTAACATAATGCAATAGAAGAGGAAATTTCACTATGCGGTCTTCATTGTACGGTGTTTCCATTACTTCTAAAATATCGCACATTGTTAATGGTATATCCCAAAGCAGAAAGAATGTCAAGGTTTCGTCAATTTGTCATATATCATTGAAACCCTTGTTATTTATTTGAGCACGATTGTACTTCCTATAGGCCTGCCCATAGAGTTCTTAAGCAATGTTTTTATTCATAACGTCGATGGTGTCTGTTCAATGCTACCCTTACAATAGAAACGATGACCAGTATAGTTCCAGTGTTACCAGCCGTCTCGGCCGACATCAATAAACTTTCTACAAGATCGTTGACATCGTCCCAGTACACGTATTGTTTTTTCTTGTTATTC